TTTCTTTATTTCACATTAACATATATTGACTATACTTTTGGTGAATTCTTTAATTTCAAAATGGTCTTTGTATATATATAGATTTATGTCTTGGTCAAAAGAGAGATAATTTGTCTTCACAACTTTATACAGTCAATGCATTTAATATTAGCAGATGCTACTTTTGCCTGTCCATTTTTAAATGTTATTTTCAGCAACGTGACAAGTTTTGCAGATAGAATAACTTCGTTCAGACGTCGAGAGAGAGAAAAGTCAAAAGATATCATCCATATTTTAATTGCAGGTTTTGTTGTGTGGGGAATGAATATTGGTGGCTCTGCTTATTTAATTTCTAAAGGTCAAGTCGACTTTAGGCAAAGGCTTGTCATTTAGTTATGTACGTCCTTTCATTTTCTCTATCTCTTTCTTCTTTTCCAAATGAGAGGTGCAATGAAAGTTTCATTAAACCAGTTATAGAAAAATATGGACGTTGAAGTTTCTTGGAAATTGAAGTCTGTTTTCTTGTTCGTTGAGATGAGAATATTGGGAAAATTGATATGATTTAATCATGTTTAGAGTTAGGTGGCAAGCTTAGCTCACCATGTATATTTTTGGTAAGCTCATATGAAGTTTAAGGGGATTTGAATAACTATGATAAGAAAAAGAAAGCACCGAACAGGTTAAAGTATTCTTAGATTTTCCAAAATCTATCCATACTTTTTAGTTATGAACGAAACTTTTTTTGAAATTAATTTGTATGGAATTATTTTTCTTATTTTTTTTGCAGGTTTTTTACAAGACATAGTTTCATAAATAACTCCAGTAATCTTGTAATTAATCAAAATGAAGCACGAAACCTTTTCCTAGTTTTCGAGTTTGGAGTATGTGTTTATATCAATATTTTAAAAATCGGACCGACCCGATCGGTCCAACTGGAAAAACTGGTAACCGGAATCAAAATCAGTTCGATTAGACTTATAAAACCTATAATTAAAAATCCGTAAAATCGGCAATTTTGGAAAACCAATGACCGGTTTCCGATTTAATCAGTTCAACGTATGTAAACATATAATTTTAAAAAATTTTAAAAATCACTAGTTCGATTCCGATTCAATCTTTTGACCCTTCACTCTTTCTCTTTTCCAGGTCAATAGTTGAATCGGTTTTTAAAACATTGATTTATATAATTTGTAAAGACAAACTGAATCTATGAATTAGCCCATGCTTGACTAACCAAGCAAACAAACGACCTTGAATCTATTCATTTTTCATAGGAGGTTTTTTCTAACTCCTAATGAGATGACTTTTTCTTCAATTTTTCAATATTTTTCATCAGAAAAAAATAAGAAAGTGAAACCTAAGTATATACATGTTAAATTATATTTTATTTTCTTTTCATTTTTAAGGAAATTAGGTAGGCGATGTTGAAAACCTTCCTGTTCCAATTTACATTTTCTTTAGTTAAAGGGATAATGAAATGACCTAAGCACCCCTTAATTATTTTGGCATGAGTATAAAAATGTCACCATATACATTATGCTCATTGCTATTTGAGAGAATAAGTGGAGAAACTAACCATAAGGAAAATGCACACATTTTCAACTTTGAGTTTCACTCCTTGCAAAACCTTGTTTCAGCCTATGGCTAGGTAACTTTTTGAGTTCAGTTTTGTTCATGCACAGTACATATATTTACTGTCTATAGATTTACCTTTACAGTATTTTGATTTAATTACAGGTTTTGTTGCAGTATGGCAGTAGAAGAAAAGGGCTTAGGTACGATGTGATGCACTCGTGTTATTTGCATTTAGACACAATTTATAGTTATTGAGAAATTTGTGTGATTAATGAATGCAGTTTCTTACTGTACAAAAGTTGAGCGCAATGCAAATTTGGAGAAACTGCAATACAACTATTTGTTTCCTGAGGTATTCTTCAACGTTTTAGATAAGTGATCTGTAAATTTTTCAACAGACTCTCAACTGTAAAGCTTACTGCATTACAGATCTCTGTACGCGAGCTTCGACACATTAAGAAGTATCCGAATGCTAAAGTTATAAGCCTCGGGATTGGTGACACCACTGAGCCAATACCAGATATCGTAGCCTTGAGCATGGCTAATGTAAGTTCCATTAATAGACTAGATTTTTCTAATTAAAGTTTAATAATAGATAGAAATATCACAAATAGAGGAGTCGTTCTCCTTCCAGGAGCTACTTTACCATATAGAAAGTTTGCCTTTCCCTTTTTGACAAGGCTGCCTGCCTATTGTTTTGAAGTCTCCAACCTCTTCCAATCATGCTCAAATATACCTTTTTATTTTCTCCTTGGAAAAGGATAAGAGCTGTTCTGGGAGTAGACATCTTTCGAGTTTTTATAATTTTCTTTTTAAACACAAAACAAGGTCAAAACTCGAATGGATAGAATAGATGGTCCAATTACATAACTTTTTCTTTTGAATTACTTCCATGATCGTGCCTTATGGCACGGCAGCACCCATACTATATACCAATGGGGACAACAAAACTTGTGCTTCGATTTGTTTCCTTGTGTTGCAAGGCATCATTTCATTGACTTGAAACAGTTGAATTCCAATTCCTTTCTAATGTTTTGCTAACGTTGTAAATTGCAGTATGCAAAGAGCCTTGCAACACCTCAAGGTTATAAAGGTTATGGAGCTGAACAGGGGAACCAGGTACTTTATGTTTATACTTAGCAGCATTCAATGATGACAATGAAAAACACAAAAATTGAACCCTCTTCCATTCAAACTGTTATAAAAAATAAATTGATGAAACTAGCATGTTTGGCCAAGCTTAAAATGTCAACTTATAAGTAAACTTCCCAGCCTCAGCCCTACGAACTAGTTACATAGTCTCATATTGCAGGAGCTAAAAAAAGCCATAGCAGAAACATTCTACAAAGATACGGGAATAAAAGACTCGGAAGTATTTGTATCAGACGGTTCACAATGTGATATCAGTCGTCTGCAGGTATATACATCTCAAGGTGTACTCATCAATTCTACAACTCGATATGAAATCAATGGATTAAACTGGTTCCTGATTATGTTTTCCTGCAGATGCTTTTCGGATCAAATGTGTCTATTGCTGTTCAAGATCCATCCTTCCCGGTGATACTTCTATCAAACACTGAGCACATTTGGTAGAAATGATTTGGCTAGTACTAAACTGTTCTATCAAATAATGGGTATCAAACATGCACAGAAACTGTTTATCGTCTTCACCCTGTTATCTTCTAACTAAACACGTTCAATACAGGCTTATATAGATTCAAGTGTGATAATTGGCCAGACTGGCGATATTGAGAAAGAATCAGGGAGGTATCAGAATATTGTATACATGGAATGTGGACCAAGAAATAATTTCTTTCCTGACCTCTCAAAAACTGCAAGAACGGATATCATTTTCTTCTGCTCTCCAAATAATCCAACAGGCCATGCATCTTCAAGGAAGCAATTAGAGCAACTTGTAGAATTCGCAAAACGGAATGGATCAATCATTGTATATGATTCTGCCTATGCAGTTTATATCACCGATGGACCTCGATCAATATATGAAATTCCTGGAGCAAGAAAGGTAAATTGCTTCCAGTCGCCTTTTTCTACCATTCCCCAAGAAAAAATGTAGATATAATCAGAATATTTGTTAATGCTATAGGTGGCCATTGAAGTCTCATCCTTCTCCAAGGTTGCTGGATTCACTGGCGTCCGTCTGGGCTGGACTGTGGTTCCTGAGGAACTCGTGTATTCCAATGGATTCCCGGTTATAAATGACTTCAATCGCATAGTATGTACCTGCTTCAATGGTGCTTCCAATGTAGCTCAGGCTGGTGGGCTGGCTTGTTTATCCTCAGATGGCTTCAAGGTCAGTTTTGAACACCGATAATATGTAGTACACAAGAACCACATAGCATAATAAACAAGATGTCAACAATGCTATCTAATTCAGTATAGTGCATGCTGAACATGCGTAAAATATAACATGCTTATAATGTTCACATTTCTATAACTAGCAAATTTAAGAAAATATACTATTCAATACAGCTATAAGCATGCTTATAATGTTCACATTTCTATAACATGCTTATAATGTTCACATTTCAGAGTCCTAACAAATGTTTTTCTGCAACATTCCTTTCAGGCTGTACGTTCCAATGTTGATTACTACAAGGAGAATGCAGAGATACTGGTGAATACCTTTACTTCTCTGGGATTAAGGGTCTACGGAGGCACAAACGCCCCTTATGTTTGGGTACACTTTCCAGGGTCAGATTCCTGGGACATGTTTAACGAAATTCTGGAAAAAACACACATAATCACAGTTCCCGGGAGTGGATTTGGTCCTGAAGGCAGAGAGTTTATCCGGGTCACTGCTTTTGGCCACAGAGAAAATATCCTGGAAGCTTCAGAAAGGCTCAGAAGTTTTCTCTCATAAAAAATGGAGTGTCAGATTCAATAAAAACTCCCCCCATCCCCCACCCCCCAGCTAAACATAAATTAATAACGGATATCGTCGCCAGCCACTGATTCAAAAATCTTGTTAAGATTAACCACAGATTGTTACCAAACATCTAGCAGTTCTCGCAAAGGATTTCCTATATAAGCTATATAAATAGAATTTCATGTCACAATAAATGTAGAAAGTGATACTTTCAGCCTTTGAGGGCAGACTTGCTCAAATTTTCTGGCAGTGTTTATGTGACTAAGATCTACAAACAAATGAACAGCTCATTTCCTGTCAATTACTAAAACATTCAATGCCCTTCAGAATGCCATTTAGAATAAAGATTGAATAAATGAAAACTTACCACACACAGGAAAAAAAATCATCCGACTTGCATTAGTTGTTGACATGATATTAGCTGATTGGGTGCCAACTTTATGAAGCTTTATCGATGATAAGCTACATGAATCAGCTTCTTGGCACAATATATTTGTCAAGATACAACCAAATTTTAAAGTGATCACTAGGTGGATTAAATAATCTGGTAGTGCATGGAAACCATTCAAATAGGATATGATATATTCAAATACGTGAGAGGGTATTCTTATGATGCTTGAAACTTCATACACAATAGTAAAAAATTATCGCTGACCAACAAAAGCTGGCAATACCAAATGACCAAAGGAGATTGATCCTGTAACATAATAGAACTAGATATCAAGAACCTGACAGCTAACTAGTTCTGTAGATCCATCGCTCTTAGCAGCGATAACTTTCCAAATATGTTCGGGAGATACTGCCACATCTTGAGAAAAATCTTGCAAGGATTCACCTGAAGAAGATGATGAGGTGGATGCAGCAGAAACGAGTCGATTTTGCCTATCAGCTTGCATGACTACGATGTTATGATCTGTTCCTTTTGTGATCACGTGCAGCTTTCCAAGAAAACCAGCAAGTAGATATGGAGATTCTGAATCAGTACAAATGGGTAGATCTCCTTCAATTATTTTCCAAGAATCATCTTGATGATCATACATTTTGATTGTAGGACTGTCTTGAGAACTAGATGGATCCAACGAATATAAGCCTCCATCAACTGTGACGCTTAATTTAGTTCCTGCCTGCTTAGCAGGCCAACCTTCCCCCATGCCAATTGGCATTTCGACCCATGAATTTGTTTCCGGATCATATACCTCTCCTCCAACATCAACAAAAAAGGGCCAGCAATATAAACTTTGAGGAACATATAATTTCCCCCTATATGATGTCATCCCAGTAGCAATAGGCTTTAACAGTTCAGCTAAAAAGGCAGTCGGTAGCATCTGAGCTTTTGAAAATGGCATGCTTGGTACTTCAGACCACATGCCAGTGCGAGGATCAAATACTTCAGCTGACTGAAGAGGACTCAGTCCACCTCGTCCACGAGTAACACCTCCAACAGCATAAAGTTTATTGTTCAAGACACCAGTCTTACAATATGCTCTGGCAATAGACATAGGAGTCACTTCACTCCAACAATTTACAATTGGATCATAACGCCAGACACGCTTCAGGGCTGCAGCCCCAGAAAATCCACCCAAGACATAGAGGCGGCCATCAACAGATCCAATTGAACAACCACAGCATCTAATCTTGTCAAATGCATCCTTCGTTCCAAACCATTCCCTAATAGAATCCACAATTTTAATATTTGAAGCAACCACATTCCACAGACGAATGCCCGATAAGCCCTTTCTAGTTCCATCTTCAACAGAAACTTTTGGCATTGGAGGCAACCTTTGCCATATCCTTGACACTGGGTCGAGGGCATACCACAAAAGTTTATCACCAAAAATCTTAGTCAGAATGTAAAGCCACTCCTCTGTTGTTCCGAGTTCTTTCCTCAACTTATAAAGTTCTCCACTAGTCAGAGCAACTTTCCAGCTCCTTGAGACCAGCTTCGCATTAAAATGCGAAATTCTAGGGAGTCTGGCAAGAATCTGAAGTGATATCTCATCAGGAAGACACGGAATTAATCTCAAATTTTCATCCAAAAAGCTTGAGGATGCCCTTTGTCTCTTACATGCTTCACTCTGTGACACCTCAGAGAGCTCTGTCGTGCTCGCCCTATTATTATTCACACTCAATCTAGCTCCCATTGGCTTTCTTCTCGCTGTTGCTAACAATAGACACAAAAGTGCATCCGCCCAATAATAATCTTGTTCTATTTCGTGCACACTAAATCCATTTGATCGCTAACTCAGAACAGCCAACAATGTATTTAAGATCAGTACAGGGAAAAAAGGAATGAGGAGAATAGTGACAGTTGACAAGAAAACTAAGGTATATGGTATATAATCATAATTTCACATCCGAAGTTGCATCCCATTGGCATTTCATAAATTGTTAGTCTCATGGTGCCTAATGCAGCATTCAAAACTTAGCAAAATCATCTCACGAGGAAGAAAATAACTAATACTCCCTACTCATCATTTGAAAGTACTTAACAGTTTGAAAAATATAAATTATTAAAGGTTAACTGCAAAAAGAAAATTATGAATTAGTAAAGGACTGTATAGAAAGCACTTAACATAAACCGATTAACTATTGGCCAATGGAAAAGATGGTCATTTACCAATCAATTACAAAGTCAATGAGGCTTTGCAGACTTTAAATGTTACTATCTAGACTTAAATTTCTGTACAATTCAAGACAAATGGAATTACATTAAAGTCAGTGCACGTGAAATCGAGAAGAGAAAAACATATTAACATTGCAGCCTCAAATATCAATTTTTTTTTTCCGGATAAAATATCGTAAATTAAATTGAATTCAATCTTCCCAGTCAAGTTCAGCTGTGAAAATCCTCCTACTCCTACTCGAAAAAAAATTAAATTTAACAATTCAAACAGGATTTTCCACCAATAATAATCGACCTTGCAGCCATGCTCAATTAATAGAAAATTCATCAGTTTCCCCTCTCGAGTAGATTTTTTTCCAGGGAAAAATACAAGAAACCCACAAATTTGAATTCTTCAAGAAGCACCCAACAAATACAAGCCCAAAAGAAATTAAGAATTCAATCTAAATAATACTCACAGATAAAAACAAATCATAACTAGATTAAGTAACAAAGATTACCTTTGTATATATTGACGAAATAAAAAGGGAGTATAAATCAAGATTTGTTTGGATAAATAGCAGGAAATTTGGACACTAACAAGTGGTGGTGTGTACACAACTTTTTCATTCAGAACGATTTTTCGGTGCTTCTTTGAGTCTGTCAAACTCATCAATTAATAAATTTTTATTTGGGAGATATTATTAATTTTTTATTTACATAGTCATTTAGTAGTCAATCTCATTTTGTAAAATTTATTTTCGACCTTCACAACTCTCATTCATATTTTAATTATAGGGAAAATCGCAACAGAAGTCCCAAACCTTTAAAACATTAGCAGACTTTTTCAAATCTTTAATTTTTTTGTAATCGTCACCCCAAACCTTTCGAAACGTTGCAGCGAAGGCCCTCTTAGACGGAATTTGTCTAATTTTCCGTCAGTTGACTGAGAAATTCGATTTTGACCATATTTTTAATATTTTTGAAAGGGTAAAATAGTAACTTTCCATTTATTATATTAAATTAAGTTAGAAATTAAAATTAAAAAAAAAAGAAAATAAAAAAACCCCATGGTCTTCTTCCTCTCACCCCACCCCCACCCTGCAACACCCATGCCGGCTATCGGAGATTGTGCCATCAGCTGGATTTGCTTCGGCACCATTTCTGGAGTGTCAGAACCAATTTTTCCTGTCCCATAAACCACCATATCATCAACTGGACTTTACTTTGGCAAACTAATTTTTTGTTACTATTAATTTTCGGATTCAAAGAATCTAAAGCTCCCCTCTTCTTAAAATGATGACCTGCCCCAGATCAAAAAATGACCTATACAACTTGTTTTTAGATGTATAAACTGACAATTGCATACGATTATGGTCCGCAAATTTTTAGATCAGAATTTTTTTTTGTTTTCATTCTGATTATGGTCCTCAAATTTTTCGATCTGGTTTGTTCTATATAGATGCTTGATTCTCTCAAGAATCGAAAATGGGGATCTAAAATGCAGCCGAACAACATAGTCATATGTTCTAACCAAGGAGACGTCTCCTAAAGATTCTTCACTTCCAGACATTGCTATACTACCTTTCGCTGAAACCTAAGTAAATTCACTTGGCCCATATCAACACCAGCTCTCATTTGCCTCGGGTTTTGCGCGAGCTCTTCCAATACTTCAAGCTCTTGATACAACTATTCCGTGCTCGCATTAAACTTCTCCATTTTGTGAACCTGAGAGAGAGAGAGAGAGAGAGAGAGAGAGAGAGAGAGAGGAGAGAGAAAGGGAATGGGGGTGGGGT